ATATTATAGTACTGTCATTTATGTTTCTAATATTTCATTACTTTACTTGTGACTTATATCACAAATTATATTATAGTGCTATCATTTATGTTTCTCATATTTCATTATTTTACTTGTGACTTATATTATACATTATATTATTAGACACATTATTAGAAACATTATATTATTATTTATATTTCTAATATTTTATTTTACAGACATGGGTTCCACAGTCATGATTTGCTTCCTGATAATGACAATGGCGGTCGTCTACAACGTCTCCGCGGCACTACCTACTCAATGTAGTCCTGGATTCCTGGACGATCTCCCGCCAAGGATCCGCAAAGTCTGCGCCGCCCTCTCCAGAATATACGAACTCGGTTCAGAGATGGAAAGCTACATCGATGAGAAAGAAAATCATATAACAGGTATACTCTTCGTTATCTCTTCAGTTTCTCAATAATTAATCGTTATTCGATTTACAGGATTCCACGAGAACATCCCATTGCTGGACAGCGGTGTTAAGAGACAGGATGTTGATCACGTTTTCTTACGCTTTGGAAAACGTCGCTAGACGTGAAGAATTATGCTTAATATTCTAAAGAATTGAATCTCTTCGAATCTTGTCATTGCCTCATTCAGCTATGAAGACCTTTGTATCTGTTTCCAGATTCTTACATATGAAACAGTATTATTTAAGCGCCGTCCTCTCTTTATTTCTTGTTAGCAAATAATTAAACAATAAATATGGATATTTAATTCATCAATTATCGTTGTGAGAATATTTCCTCCTTGTTCCATTTTATAATTATTTTTAATAATAATGTAGTTGCATTTTAACCTAACCTAACCTATGGACAGCTTCTTTATTTTAAACAGAAGGATTAATATTCCATTTGTAGTTTGCTTATGATTTTATTTGTTTAAATTGTAACACGGGATGACTGTAAAAATAAAAGGCAAATTCATTTTACAATGCACATTCACTGTGTGGTTTAATGTTTGTACAATAACTGTTGGATCACAAGGATAAAGAATGTCTATTTAGAAACAACAATTGTAAAGGATTGAATATACATGCATAATAATCCGATGTACAAGGTACTTGGTGAATTGTACGATATCTAGTCATTCTCTAAAAAAAAATCTTAAGAGGATAAAAATTGCGAAATTTGAGTAATTTTCCCGTTTCGATGGAAATTGCTTGTATAATCTTTTATCACTCTATTATCTACAGAATCACAAACAATTCCATATTCTTGAATATTTCCTGTCAGATCAATTTGCACACGCCATCGATTTTTACCATATTCCAAAGGAGACTAACATCCATTCACATTAACATCGATTATCATGCTTATACCTTCGTCTTTTAAAAACGACAAACCTTACCAGACTATGTTTCGTGGGAACATTCTAGAACAATTTTCAAAACTCAGTACAATACTCTTAAAAGAATATCTACTCTCTTTTATTTTTGGTTTCGTTTTTGATCGATTGAGACGCGTTTCAGATGCCCGAATTATACAGTTTGCCTTTAACAGCAATAAACAAATTGAAAACTCGTTTATGTACAATTCTGAAGGCACCTAATCGTCGAAGCAGCTTTAGAATTTTCGATATGTGTCCCTAGAGTTGCTTAACTGTATGTGCGTTATACAACACAATTATTGTACCATTACATAAAAGCAGATTGACTAAAAGTACATAAGTACATATTTCAATAAGCTTATCTACTTTGACCAAGATTTTAGGGCTTATACGAATTACAATACTTATGAACTAGAGACTCGATTATTTACAAGCCCTAATCTATCACAGGATAAAGAGATACGATCCGTCCAACATAACTAACGACGTTCATCGATTAGTGAGAAGTCGAATTTTCGTCGCTGCTTCTCGGAGTGCAATTGTAGCTATGGGGGCGCAGAATGAGGAGGTTGGGGTCAGCAATTTAAGGCTCCAGTTTGCTTCTCGTCCGCAAAATAAGATACAGATACTACGTCCCCGCCGACATTGATCAGACATTGGCCCTGAAAGTTCAGATGCAATGAGTGGACAATATAATGTACAACACATTCAATTAAATTGATGCATACTTGATTTTTATGAGGGCTGTGAAGCAGCACGCACTTGGTCATAAAAAATGCCACCATCGCATTGCCTCCCAAGGCTGTAATGTGTGCGCGAACAATTGCTAAGACTTCCATCACGAAACTGTGCGTAAATCCGCTTAAACCACCATTCTGTAACATATAATTATTTTCATTAATTTGACGTTATAGGTTAGAAGTATTTATAGGTTAGAAATATTTATTAGAACATATGTGAGAGCACGAACCTCTCTAATGGATGTGCTCTCCCGAATAAAGAAGAAATTTAAGTTTCCTAGGTATCTCTCGATACGACCTCCAGGTAAATAAGACAGAGGTGTTATGTCCACGCCATATCTTCCCTTTAAAGGCACCTGCAAATATTAACATTGATATTATTACCACGTTAATGATAATATTCCATATATAATAATTCAACATTGAAACCCACATGTTTGTGTTTATATGTTGTATGAACTTTAGAACGCAGGGGCGACCGCGTCCGTATTTTCAATGCTGCTGCATTAATTAAAGTAGATGAATTTATATTGCTGCTGGATGCATTATCCGATGAAACTTCAGTGTGATCTACGTCGATGTTAAATATCATATCACTGTCATCTAAAAACATATGTCATAAAGTACCTAACCTAATCTTAAGTATAGTTAACCTAACCTTAAGATTAGCAAATAACTAATCATTTACCTGACTTTTTAACCTGATCCTTGCTTACAGAGTGGCTCATTGGTTTCTTTTTAGATTTGTTTATTTTAAGAGGTTCTCCTAACCCAAGAGCCATTCCAATCACTGTAAACTGTATCTCATCTGGTTCAGGTAGTGCTAGCTTAAATTGCATATCACAAAGTGCACAAGGAATCATTCTTCTTAATTTAAAGTATACTGACTGAAGTAACTTGGTAAAATACTTTGAAGGCATAGACGCGAATTGTCCAGCAGGAATTTTTGTCCTTGAGATCTGGGTGAACATCTGTAAATTTCTTACAATCTCCAGGTCGTCTAGACCAGGAATCGTCTGAGTATTTACTACGTGAAAATCATCGGGTGGTCTATCGTCCATTAACAATGAAATTCTATCCATATCCTCAATGTCATCTACTTCTAATACGCAAGTATCCCTTGGACCTACGCTAAAATCTAAGTCAGGCAGTTCATCGTCCGATTCATCGGTGTCTGAAGTCGTCACTCGTCCATTTTCAACATCCTGCAACAAAAGATTCAGTTGTGAACGATGTCAAGTTTTAGGAACAGTCAGAGTCAATACACCTACGCCAACTGGTTTAAGACGATAAAACTCTCTGTTCTGTTTGACAGTCTCGACCAAAGTCTTTTGGATCTCTGCTAGCTGTTCCTCTTTGTGCCAAGAATTTCCGGATGCGATCTGTGGAATGGACGGAGTAGGCAATGCGGCTACAAAAACAGCAGTACCCACAGCCATACCAATTATCAGTCGCTCCCCGACAGAAACTTGTAGCTTCAAGCCAAATATCGCGTTCATCCCTTTCACTTTTAGCTTGTTTAAGAGTAAACTGTGTAATTCGTATTCTAAGAATGGCAAACAGTCTGATATCTCTTTGGCATTTAGTTCTCCTCTGAGATCTTTCTTAGCTTTACACGCGATGGCCTGTATGATACATCCTCTTCCGGTTGTTGACAGATTTTCTGGTAATTCTATAGTCGTGAACATCACGTCTGGTACTCTAGCACGTTTACAAACAGCACACTTTGAAACATTCACACGAAATGGGACGCTTGATTCGTTATAGGGGAGATGGCACAAACTACATTTACTATGAATCTGAACTTCGTGATCTTTACTCTCCGATATATGCCTTACTTTGCCAGTTTGGGTAGCTGAGGTGGGCGCGGATGTATCGGTATCGCTTTTCTCTACTTTTATAGGGACTGATTTTTGTTGAGCTTTTTCGCGTTCTGTCTCAGCAGAATTTGTACCGGATCCTAATTGTCCTTTGCTACTGATAAAAACATTGTCTGAATCCTGATTGGAGTTGTGAAAGTTGATCACTGCTGCAGTACCATATGCGTTCAGCACACAGACATCATCACTGTAAACCGATAAATAATAAATAAAGTATAAATTGTTCCATTAGATATTAATTCTTTTATTAATTCTACTCTATTAATTCTTACATCCTTACCAAATACTTGTTTCTTCTCTGTAACCGATGACAACATTGCAAGCTAATGCTCTTGCGTGTGATCTAACTTCCATCCTAACTTCTTTCCACCAAGAATCACGACTCTCTGGTTCTTCCAAGTTGCTAATTCTTTCTAAAAGCTTCACTGACCTTGAACTTACAAGACCACCTGTCTCAAAGTACATACCTTATGACTCAGACTTCTAACATTAGCAAATGACAAAGATGAAACTGTTAACGCACTATGATGCTTACCAATATGAAGAATAAATCCAGGTGGATACTGTTGCATCGTAATAAATGGATATTCTAACATTTCAAATGCATCCTGATTCATAGTTCTTATAACAGCAGTTGATGTTTTCAATAATCCAGTCATTGATTTATCATTTGTTCCAAAAGAATTACCTACAGCATACATTACTAATTGCTTTAAATCGTTTTTAAAAAAGGACTGATGTACAAATAAAATTTGTATTAAAACAAACGCAATATTTTTAAAGAAAAGAATGTCTCATAAAGTGATTCTTTGTCCAAAAAAGTAATATACGCTTCAGACTACTTCTTAATTTTTATGTAAGTGTTATAACTAATAAATAAAGGAGGAAATTAAATATTCTTTTTCTTCAAAAAGTACATAAATTAAAAGAGTGATTACCTATAACCACCTGGAATCATCATGAACAAGATTTTTGTTTCAGGGATTCCTTCTTTGCTGGATATAAGTCACTTTATGAGGCATCCTGTAATTTAAGTTTTAACTCACAATGAACTATCTAAAGGTCAATGCAATCATGAAGATAATGCATTTATTTTACTACATAAAAAAATAAACCCATTTATGTCCTGAACCATTTTTAACTATAAAACTAAATTAGAAATTTTATCATCAATTTATTTCTCAAATTATATTCTTTACTACAGTAATTGTTTAAATAATTTGTAGTTGAAAGAACTCACCTTTTGGAGTAATGCTCAAATCAGAATCACTGGACCTTCGATGCAATGAAACAGTAGGTTGTGCCTTAGTCGTTGGTAACTGACATACTTTTGAAACCATAGAAGGAACAGCCGGAAGTGGATAAGATGGACTTAAAGATGCCTCATCTTGTTGCCTATGATTGGGAGAAGGATGGGACACACACGAGTTGTAAGTCATATTAGCAGTGTTAGTAATATTAGTGAATTCATTATGATTCGATATTTCTTCTGTATTATAAATGCTATGACTATTATTTTCTACATGATCTACAGATGCAGGTGAGACTGAAAGGTTAGTGTCATTTGGCTTTAGTTGCTTCATTTCTACAATATCACTACTACATTTAAGTGAATCGCTGCTTGGAGTATCTACAGTTAATTCTCTAGCAGCAATTTCATGAGATTTTAAATTAGCTGTAGATCTTTTGGTGAGAACGTTTTCATCTAAATGAAATGATTCAGTTCTGCATAAATGTGATTGAATGATTATACTTTCTAGAGAGGAGTTATAGGAAGAGGAGTCGGGTGTCATAATTGATGGTGGTGCGGATTCATCTAGCGGGAGATCCTTTGAAAGTGGGGACGAGTATACCACTTCTGCATTCTTGTAATTTCGCATATGTTTTCTTAAATACTGATTGTGCAATGTTTTCCGTAAATTCTGGGGATTAAAATTTCTATGTATTCTATCACGTTTCTTCCTTTTGAAACGACCACCATTGCTGACAGTTTGATGTTCTGGATGTACCATCATCTTTGTGTCAATTATTTTAATTAAATCTAACATACGACGTTGTCTATTCTGGTGTGCTACATCATATAATTCATTGCTCGAAGACTGTATCAAACTTTCTGCACTAGAAGAAGTTTTTGATGCTAGAGTATCTCTACTTTTTTTTCTTAAATTGGATTGTACGGTAGACTCTTTAAACTGTTTCAAGGATGGTAACGAATGCGTTGACGAACTCAACTCTGGTGTACTCTTCGTGTTTCGTTCTTCCATTTTTTCCAAACATTCGTTCTTAAAAGATTCTTTGTAAGCAACACTGTCTGCTTCTTTGAGCGATGAAGAATATTTTTTCTCCTCATCTATTGTTTTATCTTTATTTTCAGTGTCACTTGCATTTTGCAATAAAGAATATGCTGAGACAGATACTTCAGAATCATCAGCATAAGATAAATTTCCAATATTATCCAAATTAGTGGAAGTATCATATTCAGTAGTACTGAGAACGTAATTTTCATTGTTTTCTGGCACTGCGATTTCAGGTATTTCACGCTTCTCAGAAACAGGAGTAATGGATTTAATTTCAGTTTCTGGAAAAAAAGGAGGAGGAATTTCTTCCGGAGTACTCGTCGCCAATGGACGATCAAAATCTGATGAGTTGTGTATCTCTTGACGTTGCAAATCTTTGTTTTCCACATTTGTATTAAATTCTGATGTAGCCTTAGATGAAGCATCATTGATTGCCATTGTTCGCACACGTTGTTTGCTCTTCTTAATTCGTGAACTGACAGTAAATTCTGCATTATACGGTATGTGATTCGTGGACAAACATCTGAACAGTGGAGGTGTACTTTCTTGAAGAGGACACGTGTCGCTATCCCTACTTGGCAATCTGATTTTTGGCAATTTAGGTTTTAATGGGGGAAAAGTATTGGTTCTAGTAAGCCTTCTTATCAATATATTACTTGTTCCTAACTCTTCATCAATGGAAAACTTTGAGTCACTCAAAACATTGTAACTGGTACTATCTATTGAAGATTCATCAGACACATTATTAGAACTAGATGTATTTTCCTCGAAGGAGGAATCATGTTGTTTCTTTGCTCTGATTTCTGACTTTATACTTTCATTTGTATAAGCATCTTCTTTCATTTGATTTTCATATTTTTCTTCAGTATCATTTTCATGTTCTTTCATATTATCAGATGCTGGAGTGGATGCCATTGTTTCATTATCTTCATGAACATTTTCTAAAGGTACGCTATGTATAGATTTTATTAAAAGAGCAGCTACTCCCATCTTAGCCTTATCATGTTTTTCTTTGTATGGATTATGTATACTCACAATTGAAGATCTAGCTGAAGAACTTAAAAGAGGATTACTCATTTTACTTTCATCACTTGTACTGAACAATCTTTTGAAGTTTCTCATGCGAAGGTCTAATATACTTTTATTACTTTCGCCTCTTTCATCCTCTAAAGCCAACATCACTCTTATGGATGCATCTTGTATCACCGATTCGGGTAAAGCTGGATAAGAAACTGAAGTTTTCTTCAAGCCTTCTAATGATTTATCCGCAGTACCCTTTAATTCATTGCATGGGCACTTTGTCATTTTTATTGTTCGTTTGGGACTTCTCAGTGCTCTTAAGCGATGTGGTAAATTATGCTTTTTACGCGCGACTCGCGTATTTGTAATACGAGGATCAGGAATATTCACAGGAGAGACAGGAAATAACGATATACTTTCATTCAGTCCTGCACATTCCTTTTGTGTTTTGTGTTGTGAAAAGAATGCCCTATATAGGCACATGCGGGTGGATAAAAAGAAAAAGACCTAATTAGTTTATATAATAAAATTCTGACAAGCATAATTTTTTAAATATTTTAAATGTAAAAAGTGGAAAGAATGACTCTAATAAACTAATTCTTTCATCGATTATTATTAGATCTTGTATGATCAACGATCAAAGTTGGATGCGCGTGTAGCGTACCTAGTCATTTCCAGTATATCGCAGTGCTCCATTCTCTACACACTTCTTCCTGGTTTTTATGCACGCGCATCAGACCTCAATCTAGCTTCTATATACCGGGTGTCCTAGAAAAATGATACGTTGATTAGAAGTTTATAAAATATTATTGCAACACTCATTTTCGTGGTCTTTGTTACTACACTGGCAGAGGCTTTAACATTAAATTCTTCTTATCGAAACAAATATGTAGTTACAAACGTGTAAGCATAATACGAAGATACAAAAATGATAAAATATTGAAATACTCTTCTTTTCTCATGGAAATTTTACGGAAATAGGACACCCAATACATAGAAGTCAAATGCGACTTAATGCACCTGAATAATGTACCAGTGATGAACTGTGAATAGAACATTACACGATACAAGAACATTTATTTTTATTCGTATATAAACGCATCAGACTTTGAACTATTTCAAAATGAAATTATAAACACATTAGTATGTTGTAACTTCTTTAAATAATGTTAGTATACTTTGAAAAGAAAATCGAAAGATTCCTTGTAAGACAAAAGAAACATCACTTCTTCTATGATAAAAAAGAATTCGCAAACTTTTATAACAGAAATAATACCTACAGCATTTGTACATGCGTTTAATTAATAACAAGCATTATACGAAATTGTTTATTCGTACAAAAACTATGCAATAAAAGAAATTTCAATATTTCATTAAATAACCAGCATTATAATTCACAACACAGAACACTTCAATAAAATGTTTTTAGCATTACCATTATTACTACAGTACAAGCACTTGATTGAATGTCAGTTTTAGAGCATAATGGTTTAGAACATGAAATGCAAAAATCGCTCATAAGAAATACGCTTAAACACGTTATGAGAGAAAATACTGTATATACTTACTCTTCAATATTGTCAGATGGGAAACTCAAGGTATCATGCAGCTTTACAAGAGTAACAGCTGTACCTATACCTCGAGCTACAATACCAGATTCACCTTCCAAATCAAAGTTTTGTAAGTACCTAATTAGTGAAGAAAGTAATTTCATTAAAATTTGAATGTCACTATTAAGCTTAAAACATTAACAGAAATATATGATTCACCCAATAACAGCATTTCCACCAAGATCCAGAGCTTTCAATCCAATTTTCCTTTGAACTTCTCCACTTAATTTAAAAAATAAGGTTTGTCTGGCTTCATTAGATGCTCTGGGTGTTCTTATTTTATCAATCCACTTATACTCTGGATCATCACTTACAACTAATTCTTCTACAAAACCATGTATACTTTGAGTATGATATCCATGAGGTATATTTGGTGCTAAAAGAACACCATAGAATATATTAAATAGTATAAATGATTTCTAAAGCTCGATAAAATTATGTTCAATATATTTACAATAAAAAAATTGTACTCCACAAGAGGATTGTCTGAATTTATTAAAATCAGAAAACAATTCTACTTTAACAATGATGTTAACTTCACCACGAATACCATGCATGGTATCATATACTGGTATCCATCCTGTCATAACTGAACCTATAAAAAGATATTACAAAATTATTTGAATCTTATGAATCATGGAGACCAAATACATACCACCTTGTGAACCAGTGTTGGTATTCATAGCTGCCTCCAAAGTCCAAATGTTCTTAACAGTAGGAGGTACTCCAGGTAACAATAATGGATTTAAATTTATATATACTTTTCCTATTGCATCATTTGCAGAATATGTATCATGATCCATTAATCTGATCTGTAGTGGCTCATCTTGTAATTCAGAATCATCAACTTCAAATCGATACCACTCTGAATTCCACTGAGGATTCAGAGACTTTCTGCATACATCCGTTTTAAATGTTATATTGCCAAATTTTAATTCAACATATGCATCAGTCGTATCACCTGAACGATCCATTACAGGTAAATTACGACCTGCCAATACCTTCACTTTTATTTTGCCTGGCATTGTGATGGAGATTCGTTTCAATTAATCTCTACAATCAATAAATTGTATTTTATTACTGCAGGCAAGTAATTAATTAATAATATAGTTAATTTAATAATACATTTGATCACATGTATGTATTCTAATAACGAAGGTTATGATTAAAAAATACTTCTAAATAGAATATTTTATAGTGCAAGGAATATAATAATAAATATCATTAACAAGAATACAATGCAGAAAAATTATTTTGTAAAGCATAATGATACTTACTTTGTCAGAACGATTTATACATTTGAACATACGTTATCGCTTCATAGTGGTTTAAGTTATTTGCAATATTAGTATATAAAAAATTCAAAGAAGTAATTACGTATTAATATTGCATTAGTCATTTTAATAATGTATTGCAATGAAAAGTTTGTTACGTTGCGTTAAGTTGACGTTTGTTTACTATCACTTCTTTAAAACGATGCATCGCGTACCCTTTGCTTCGCAGAATTTCTCTATAAATACCAACAAATATATCTTGCAAGTTTTATAATATATATAAAACAGCGTGTGAAAGTATTATCTACATAAGGAATATGATAAAATGTCATATAAATATTCTTTAACGATGCTAACCAGCAACTTTATCGATTACTTCACCGCCGTTAATATTCTTCCGCTTATCGTATTACAAGTTATTTTACCAATAACATTTGGAATCCAAATATTATATGTAACAACATTATAATTGGAATTGGATAGCGCCCAGATTATTGCTTCTTAGGGAATTTCTACGTTTTATCACGTTGAACATAAACATCGTAGGATCCCGATTTTATATATCTCATTCTATTTTAGGTTAAAGGACGTCGCGAAAATTATGCGAACTTAAAAGCTCAGAACTCTGTTATCCATTGAGTAATTTCAATCAGTTATAGCATTTGATAAGCGTATATATTACTTTATGGTAGTCTTTTTATTAAAATATTTACAGATTGTGGACATATGGCATACGATAGTAAGGGGGACAACTTGAATGAGGGGGGGATAGTCAAAAAGAGGAGAGAGCGCTATCTTTTGCGCTCCAATGAAGTGGGAAGTTTGAATGAAATTCATATATTTGCGTGACTATACTTACTTATGCGACTATACGAATATGTTCTATAGATATTTAATATCTTCACTACATAGTTCAGTTCAAGTGCAAGTATTAATTGAATAATTTCAAGCAATATTGAGCAGAGTTATGCACCCACATAAAATTCTAATCTGACCATGCGTTGAAAATCCCCCGTGAGGGATTATTACTGCAGTTGCTGCAGTCTGGAACATTTGTACGTGATAGAGGGCCTCTCATTTCATCTATAGTCCACCAACAAAAAAGGATAGTATAAAAAAATAATGTCGAGCACGAATGAAAGTGAAATTAGTGAACGGTGGTAGGCAGCTCTCCACTTGTTTAGTTCTCACCTGGGCGTTGCCATCTGGAGAACAAACATTATTTTCCATTTCAATTCGCGATCATGAGTGACAATTCCATGAGGTTAGGTGAGTCGGTAATCGATCTCCCTGCGGTTGTTTAATTTCACAAATCCGTATTCTTCTTTAACAACTCTCATTTTACTTGTGTAGAAAACTATGAAGTCCTTAAAGCTCTCTACGATTTCAAGGCCACCTTTGCCAAAACCCTCAGCTTTCAAGAAGGTGATTACTTTATTTTATATCAAACTAACACCAAGCAGAGGAACTGGTGGCAAGTTGTCAACAGGGATGGCCATATTGGATACATTCCTTCTAATTATGTCACCACCGTGAAGGTAAATCAAGTAATTTTTCGATAAGTCATTATAGATCTTACAAGATCCAGTGACTTTCAGGTAACGTCCCAAGTATTGATTCAGTTTTTGGAAGATTGTATAGCAAATGCGATTGCAGAGACTAAGAAACAAAGTGGATTACACTTAGATAAGCAGGATCTTATTCTAAAATTAATAGAAAAGAAAAAGCTAGCAGAATTGAATAAGAAACCTAAAAAGCAAGCTCCAATGCCTCCAGATTTTGGGAATGTCACACCTACCAGAGAAACATCTTCATCTCCTGTCTGTACTGTACAAGAAGGAGATGTCAATCCTGCTCAGAGTAATACTTCATACATGACTGCACAGACAACTGTGCATGGTAATACAGATAAAGAGGAAGCACCAGTTGTTCCACAGTGTCAGCACAGTACTATAAGCGATCAAAGAAAGCAGTCTCTGCCACGTCAATCTTCCTCTGAAACACAAAAGGTTCAAACAGATGTTCGCAAAAGTCCTTCTCAGGGTAGTGCCAGACAAACCCCTAACAGTTCACCTATAAAGAAAAAGACTTCATTATGTGATATCAATTCTCATACTGCTTATCAGTTACTTGACCAAGTACGGAGAAATACTCAGTTAAGTTATGAAATGTCTAAAGTAGCTGTCACAGTAGTTGTTTCTGGTCTACAACAATTACTGCCACCAAATGTGAGCCATTATTTTGATGCACTATTGCATCAGTTGGAAACACCATTTACAGTATCACAAATGAGTATAGAGGAAACATATGATGCTAACAGATTAAAAGTAATTTTTACAGAGCTTACTTCTTGTAAAGAAGATTCACAACAGAGAAATTGGATGCTTTATGAAGATGAATCTATTATTGTTGATTATATAAAAGAGCTTACTTCTATATTGGTACATATCATAATGTACAATTGTACTCAATCAACTTACACGTGTAATTTATGTTATTTATTAATTTTGCAGACAAATGCTGATGCAAATGTATCTAGATACGTTTTACAACAGGATCAATATAATGGAGTTAATATATTAATACAGTATTATCAAATGGAGCCTAGGTGGACTATCAGACAATTACTCTTACAGTCATTTGGTGTGATGTGTAGTCTAGATTCTGTGATTTTGACCATAATGTTAAACAGTGTATTGCCTATGGAACTAGCAAGGTAGTATAAAGTAAATTACATTATCAGTTTGTGTGGTATGTAACAATTTGAACCATATTTTCCAACAGAGACATGAGAAGTAATCCCAGAAATGTAACTAAATTAAATTATTCTTCATTATTACTTACTATGATTTTCTCAATGGGTGAACCTATGCCTGTTACGCATTTGGGTGAGTAAAGTAGGTAATGCATTGTGCATGTTGCATTAACTTGCAATTTTCTCATTGCTTACTATAAATACTTATTATAAACTTTCCTACAGAGCAACTCGGCCCAGATTTTATAGCATTTATTCTGGACTTAATAGAGAATCCTCCTGACATGGATTTGGAAGATCAGATTCCAGATTTATTTGTAAATTTAATATTGTCTTATAATTTACAATTCACGAACTCAGAGAATATAGTTCTGAATGCGTTGAAGGGAAGGACGGTTGCAAAAAATTTTACTGAAAAAATTTTGCTATTATTTAACAGGGAAGGTAGGATATATAAACAAAAAGTATTTAAATAAAGTTGAAATCTTCATAAATAAGTGGTTCATTATAGAGGATCCTGTACGAATATTTGATCACCAACCACCACCACCGCATTCTGTACTGAAGCTATTTATCGACCTGTTCAGTAACGACGTTACGGCAGGTCTCTTCTATACCAATGACGTGAAAGTACTAATCGATATTATATTGCGCCAACTGTATGACATGTTTCCCGGAGATAAGGTACTAAATTGCTACAAAAATTTTGTCCACGTAATAGCAATAACTGTAACATAATTATTAATTTTATAGCGTAGACAATATTTAGAATTATGCCGAAGAGTACTTCGTACATCCAGTTATAACGAACATAGATATCGTTCAGAAGATTTATTGAAATGTTTCACAAGGTGTGTATTACACGTAACTCATAATTTTTCTTCTAATAACGAAATAAATATTTTCACAGGATATTCTGCGAGGAGACTGGGGAAAGTCAAGAAGACCAGCAGTCGGTACGCGAGATTAGCAATGAATTTCCGCATTTATTTAAGATGTGACATTTACTTTCCTCCTCCGAGAATAAAGATTTGGAGGAAGACGACTTGCAAACTCTTGTGTAAGAAAGCGTTGCTGTACACAGTGCAGAGGAATCAGGTTACTGATCAGAAAAATCTTCTTTATTTTTCTAATCTCTATTTTGCATATATTTTGCTCAGCTAACGTAATTATGAACGCACACGCGATTCGCAGAATTTTAAGCGCATTAAATTCTATTTTTCCCGTTTTAATCTTTCTATTAAACAATATCACTTATTCTAGATAAAAAAAGAATACAAAAAAGGAACAAAAACACAAATAGACAAGTATTTAAAAATTATTGTGTATATAAGGAGAAACTTTTTTTCTCGTTCTAAGCATGAGGACCATCGGAGTATTTAGAATCATTCCAAGTACCCTAATATAGATAAATAAATTAGCGTAATTAAATAGTTTGACTGCACGGATAAAATTATATAAGTATTCGAATATCATTCTGATATATTAAAGACAAATTGGAGCATATAACAGGATCTAATTTCTATAAAAGCTCTTTCTAAAAAATTCTTCGCACCAAAAAGGAAGAATTTAGTCCTACTCAAAACCAATCATGGTCTCTCTGTAAACTATTATAATAGTCTAGTCCACGTCTGTGCGTGTCTGAATAGTATTCTAAGTCATACGTTATTTCTTAATTTATGTTAAATTTTCTCTTGTGAATGATATTATATATTACTGTACGAGTTTGAACGAAATTAACAATTCGTTTAGCGATCACGACACAAAACGTTTTCAAAGGTTACTTGTCGTGATGAAGTTTTAAAGTTTATTAGTGCCACTAATATTATATAGTTATCGAACTTTCTAGTCTATTGCTAGCAACTATATTTTTTTAAGAGTATTACACTGCGTTACGTTTGCGACTATTAAAGTGTCAATTACAGAGAAATCTCAAATTATTGTGATTATGAATCAAATGTTAAAGAAATAAAAAGTCTAGCCGAACAAAATAATTGCTTTACTTATTTAGTAAGATTTTAGGAATTGAGATAAAAATGCAACAATATTTTCGGTGGTGTTTTATTAATAACAAATAAATACTGTCCATGAAAAACTTAGCAGGCGTGATGCAAATACATGTACGGAACGCATGACTCGTTATTTTTTACAATTAATGTGATTACAACAATTACGACTTGTGTACAAGATTGCAATTAATTTGTGACACTCTTTTATGAAAGAGACAGGAAAATAATCTGCTGTGAGGCGATCGTTGTGACGCTGAAGCCATTTCAAGATTCGACGAGTTTGCCCCTGAACAAACTGTCAAAGACGCGTCATGTTAAGTGACGGACTTTCTGTACGTTTTATACACTCCGTTCTGGTGCATTGCTTTTTTTGATTTTACTTTAGAAGACACGCAGAAAAAATTAGTTGAAAGATGTGACCGTCGCACATATTGTCTTTGAGTCGAGCGAAACACTGGCACATTTGGGTTTATTCTCCGGTCATCATCTCCATGAATTCTACAACAGAATGATAATCATAAAATTAATTTATACATTAATTATTATATTATTCACAGATGTAATCTAAGTTTTACTTGGTCAAGGAAGTTGAGGTTAAGGAAACTTTCTATTTTGGTGTTAAGGAAACTTTTTATTTTGGGAGAACCCTGGCACACGAAGAAAGAAATGTTGAAGAAAGTTTAAGAAGAGAAGCACGTAATTTAAATATAAACACGAGGGAAGTATTAACAAGTAGTCAGTCAGTAAACTAGTCGAGCTTCCAACATAAATAGAGAAGTGTAATTATATCACACGTCTGACTTATTATTTAGAAGTACTTCTGTTTTGCTATGACTAGCAACGATATATGAAGTAGTAAATCACCGTTGATAAAACACCGACCAATTTGCAGGTTGTTCGATGTCCTGGCGGATGAGGAAGAAGGGGAGAAATGCCAAGATTTCTATATCGAAGTTGGAACGAGATGCGGGTGTAGCTGGTTGCAAAACCCGGAATTAGAAAGTCGAGTTCTCTCATGCGGAAACTTGGATCATTTATGCAATTTTATCATGCCAAGGTTTGGATGTGGACAAATGTTTTTTGATACTGGAACGTTGTTAACACCTCTCTACTTTGGCTAGACGATTCACGAGTGTTGGGAAAGACTTACTTATTGTTAACTATAAACAAATTTTTCTTTGTTAAAAACCAAGTACTAACTATGGTCAAACATTCAACAGAAAGATTACCATCAAAGTCAACAGTGCCAGATCCATCAGAGTCGATCTCCTCGATCATGAAATCCAGTTCCTCATCAGTCAACTGGTCGTCCAGTTCCCTCAGGATTTCACGCAAGCACGTAGTGGGTATGTAGCCATTTCCTACAAATTAAATGTTCAAATAAAATTCATTAAATAATTATAATAACAAATCTAAATATATATTGAACTATAGATTCATGGGAGGAGTCTCTTGAGAAAGAGCACATATGCAAGGGAGACAGAGGAGTGGAAAACTTTGCGGCTCCAAAATTGGATCCACTATATAGCACATTGCCAGACTCTACAGACTGTAGAATATACTATAGGGTTTTTATGCCATTTTGGTTTTTACTGGCTCGTGTAACATGATTAAATGCACAGTCGCATTAAGACGTGTCCAAAAAGTGTTTTCGATAGTAATTCATGGAGGCATCGGGGACGAAATGGTTGACCGATTTTTGGCTGTCAGCCCAGCCATGCTCATTGTGGCTCGAATTCGCTCGGCTTTCATTCCCATGCGAAACGGGCTGCTTTTACGCGGCTGATTCGCGGAACCAGCTATTCTCGGCCAGCCGATATATCTTTCTACTCTTGTTTCGCCTTGTTTTTCTCTCCAGTTCTGGAGCTCACAATAGCCACGGTTTCATGTCGTCACTATTAATGTCACTGTTGTGCAATGACCACGTGGTTGTAAAGATTCAGAAAATAGGAATGTGGAATAAAGAGATTGACGCATTGGTGTAACTAGGTAAAGATCAGGGTATGCAGAGCACTTCATATATCTAATACTAAAAATTTAGAAAGTCATATATACAAATTCTCAAATGTTTGAATTTTTTATCTTCACATTTACAGTAACTATTATACCATTAGTGGACAATTGACACTATTAACAAAGCCAAGATACTTGACCTAGTTCACACAAAAATCTTAGTAATGCCAACAGTCGCGAGATTTAGGTTTGTTAAAATTAAATCATACCTTCTTTATCGTAGAGCCTGAAAGCTTCCCGAAGCTCTTTCTCCAACGCCTCGGCATCCTCTTCAACGATGAATTTAGCGGCCAACGTAACGAACTCCTCGAATTCAAGGCGTCCAGATTCTGCAAGTTGATAACAGAACTTTGTCAGCAAGTTTAGTTGAACAGAACATAAGCACAGTTTTAGGTAAACTAAAAGTCTTAAAAATTTTAATCAATACTTATTGACACAACTTCAGTATTTGACTTTATATTTTTATATTATATGTTTCTTCATAATGGTTGCTTATTTCAGACATGTCTGACCAATGTTTGATACGTTTCACTTACTGTCAGCGTCTACTTCTTCAATTAGTTCATCCAGAATCTTCTTGTTGAAAGGTTGACCCATCAATCTAAGAATGTCAGCCACCATGTCGGTGGGAATGCTGCCACTCTTCTCCCTGTCGAAACTGTCGAACGCTTTGCGAAGGACTAAAACAAGGTTCCAACATCTTTCTCGAGAACACAGATTCAAGAAAAACAAACACGTTTAGTAGAACACAATTATTTGGGATGTGGTTATTGGTTTATTATTAATAATGAAATATTAACACATTGACTGTCATGGAAGATGTCTAAAATATAATCATTAAAAAGAAATATTTTAAATAATATTATATTAACAATATAAGATAGTCAACGTGTTAATATTTTTAGTTGTCCGATGAAATCCTTTTAGGAACGAAAATCTCTTCCGAGAAGAAATTAGCCGTGTTAAAAGATCGTCTGCGATACGATCCAAATTTAGAATCCGATGTTAATGCCCTTCCGCACCCTCGCGATTCTGGCTCGAAGCTTATTTGGCTCGGTGCAACATCGTTCACACTGGTTAGAACGTTTATTTATCGTTGTCGACTGACCAGCGATCCTCGCGATGAAACTTTACCGTAATTTATTGGATAATTTGTTTAGTATCTTTGGGAAAAGCTAACAAAAGGTTCCTCCTCGATTTTTTCATCTGTTATTTCGCAACGTCCAATTGATTTCATCGACTCGTCAAGTTTGACGATTTGTCATCGAGTCATTTATGTATCTTTACACAATATCTTGTATCATTATTAATGTTAATTGAGCATGAGGCGCCGTAGATGTTTTGCCAAGATCCAAGAAGAAAACTAACGCTTCAAAGTTTCATTGTTCAGACGTATTCGCAGAAAGATAAATGTCGTTTACAAATTATAAACGTTGTAAGGCTGGGCGTTACGAGCTTCTATTTTTCGATCGTCGTATTGCTTCCCACTGGAGAATCCTTCCTCTATTTTTACCGATCCGATTCCCGATGATCGAATCGTCACGCGATACCTCCTCATCATACGGCTAAGACGGTTCTGTAGCTATACATAGGCAGCTGGCTGCCCTCGATCGAATGGAAGCACAAATAAACTCTGAGAGAACGTGGCTTCTATGGGCGAAGATAACTTATCTGACCTGTTTTATTTTCTGTTGCTTTAATTCCTTCTTCCAGACTTCTTGCATAATGTACAGCGAAATATTTTTCATTCTTTCATGTATATAACCTCTGTCATCCCGCCAAATTTATTGGAAATTTTGCAGTAATTTAATTTATTGAGAAGCAAAGAGCCAAGTCATATGTCTTCAGACTTTATAAGATTGTAAAACTTGAATAGGAGAAGTAATATTACTTCAGAAATTATTTAACAAACTCCATTTAATAAATTAAAAGAAGTTTTGAAATATATGTAGTAATAGAACAATTTCTTTTTCAGATACACAAGATCTGGTCAATTTATTCATTGGAGTTGAGGTAATTCTTGTGCGCCAGCCTAAACTAACATGGATATACTCTGCGTCACCCTAATCCCTATGGATTACAACATTCTTTGGTAAAGTACGCATGAAAGTTTGTCCCATATATTGGAAATATTAAATAAAATGTATGGTACGTATCAAATCCAGATGTCTACACTTTTATAAACAATTTTATAAATGTAAAATTCGGTTATAGGAGATTGAACAAGGTTCACGTGATCTGACACCGCTAACGATAGGGTCAAGAAGCGAAAAGGAAAACGACGGAACAGAGAGTGGACTAAATTTAGTTGCGTCCAGTAAACACGATACGATTTCGCCGTCGACGATCGAAATACCGGAAAGCCAAGAATGGCGAGGCGAAGAGCTGTACTAGTATATCCTGTTAAATACAGCGATCGTTGCATCTTGGAAGAACCTTTAATTTTTTTTAATGAATCAAACATTAAGTCATTGGTTTAACTGGAAGCCAGGGTGGACCTGGACAATATTGTTAGTAACAATCACGGGTCAATTTTCAATTACGACTACATACCAGCAATTTGTTCAGGGGGAAGTTCGTCGGCCTGTGAACACAAAACTGGATTGAGCTTTGGTTTCATCGACATTCGACAAAACATTCGATTAAAAACTGAATATCGATTTTAAATAATCTGGGAATCGACGAGCAATTACGAAGTACGAATTAATTTGATTGAGAGTCGAAGAAACTTCTTTTGCCAATAGACGTGCATTGTTAACCAGTGACTTCAAAGAATTCGTGCATTCTTTCTTAAATTAGAATACCATTCTTGTCTTTGTTATTTAATTAAGTGCAGAAACTTGCAAGTGCGATCGAATTTCAACGACCTGTCCCGAGTTGTGCGACCCTTGGAACTGATTCAACCCAAAAAAAAATAGAAAAGTCTGTGATTAATCAGACATCGAGCCTCTTTTCTCGACATTTCTTTTGCAACGAAATTATTCGATACTGAACATTACAATGGATGCTATTAATTAAATATAATGGAATTGATGGGGAAAAAAGAGGCTTGAGAAAGTTCGCCATCTAAAAAACAGTCACGTTTCCAGGACCTCGCATTCTCTGGAGCGATCATATAGTTAAACTACAACCACTGTTATTAAGAAGAAAAAAAATGTGAAAGAAAATTGCAGGCCAAAAGAGTGGAAGAAAAGAAAAATAAATGATGAAAAAAGAGAACAGTGGATGCAAGCATTCCACGAGGAAGGAATGAATTAATATTTCATATAAGTGGAGAATGTAACACATGTTCTATGAACATTCAAATTTTTTATCAGAACTATTCATGTGGATCTTCTACTAAATTTGAGCAGTGTACATCTCCATTAAACACGTTGTCTGACACAATAATTATGATTAATAGCACTGTTACACTATTTTACAGATGCATTATTAATTACACTGTTGATCCTTTCACTGTGATTGACAGAAACTATTATAGTAATCCAGTTCACAAAGAAAACACCACAGTGAAATAGTTAAATACTCAATTTTTAATAATTCCCATAGCAGTCAACGTGTTGCAACATTAATTCATTGCCTTGAATGTCTCACGCCAAAAGAAGTGGCAGTAGAAGACATAAAGAACAGATTGAAATGACAAAGATAGTTAAGGCGAGGCACAATAACGAACCAGAAAAATAGAGAGACAAAGAAAAAATACAATAAATAAACAGCCTATTATACAAGGTAGGAAAACGTGTGTGTTTACCAGGGCGACGACTTACGATATCATCAATAGAACATACCATGGTGGCGCGCTTCTCTTTTCTCTACTTTCTTATTTTTTCTTTAATTTAATAAACGTTACTTAAAGAGCACTAGTTGTACGTGAGTGTGTATAGTCTGTACAATAATCGCGAGAAGAAATTGGTAATGGAAACAATCGTGTATGGTATGGTGAAGCTTTGCCGTCCGTCGAACACTGTCATGAGGAACGGCTATCGTCGCGGTAATATTCGGATAGGGCGATATAGCGGTTGCGTGGTGGGTCCGTACCACACCCCGCAACCTCCAGCCAATCGCAAGCTCCTCCTTTGCTACGGGCCAAGAGATAAATTGCTCTTTTCCTGTTACCTCTGTCATCGTATAGAATGACAAATAAAAAGCACGGCGGCATCGTTGCCAGATTTTATCCTTTAAAACGCTGTTGCCGTATCTATTACAATTTGGCGGTAAATGATAGTTTAAAGGAATTCAAACTTGGAGTTGCATTTCAATTTCAAGTAGTCCATTTGTGATTTCATTAATTACAGAAATACTATTAGAAGTATGAACACAATAGTTTCATCGTTACATGTATTAATACACATTCTCAGACCTCTTTCACTTAAGTTGTTCTTTTTAACATGTTTATTCATTAGTACTTATTCAACTTTGTCTAATGAATAGAATAGTGAATAGAGGAAGTATGGCAACAACGCAGTAAAACAGTTTGAACAACCAATCAAGTGAAGCCTCTCATTACGTCATAAACAGGCGCCAAATATAATTAACTATTTTAATTTGTTCGTGTAGCTTTAAAGCACGTTATATAAAAATCAAAGAATTTGTATAAAATGAAGCAATACAAATATTAAGTAAGTTTCATAGAATTTAAGATATGAACGTTAAACTTCATATACTTAAATATTTTCCCTTTTTCTTATTATCTTGTGAGAATTATACTTGCCTATCTCTAATTTAGTTTTACAGGAACATTATAATTTACCTGTTAATTTAATTAACTTTGTGTAGACGATAAGTTAGCTATTTATATTTGACGCCTGTTCATGACGTACTCACGGACCTTCAGCTGATTGGTTGAATTATGTAAACATGCGCAATGCTATACCTAGCCGCTACAAGCTGTTACACTTATCAGCTGATTATATTTTTATCGATACTGAGGGTAACATATGTCGCAGGCGCTACTAGCGGAGAAACATTGAACTACTTTTGAGCACGTCAATCACAATTTCATTTTATGCCTTCCAGAAGTGATTAATTGTTAACAATCACATTTCCAGGGTATCATGCTATTCCAGTAAAGAGTTGGCTGGTTTGATATCAGTGAAGAAGTCATTAAATTTTTTGTTAAAAAAGAAATTCGATGCGATGTGTCAGAAGACAGCCATCTTGTTTGTTTACATAAGTATTTCTTTCAAATTTGCACTGACTAAAATTTGATTTCTTTCAATGTATTGTGTTCATTGGTATTCAAACCAGCTCACTTTCTGATGATGTCTACCGATGATTACTGTACTTGCAAAAACTTCATTTTTACAATCATCAAACTTCAAAATTGAAAGTAGAAATCAACTACTCTTTCACACACTGATGGTTGTGTAGTTTGCATTGTTATGTGAGTGTACACACACCACGTACAACCAATGGAGTCACTTATGGCGAAAGGCCATATGGCTTTTGGAAAGGCGCTTGCGCTATTTCTGGGATGCAGACACTACCGCGGGGCTTGAAACCAGGGACGTCTTTTTGGTTTCGCCTCCAGTTCGTTTCCTCTCGTTATGCCAAATTTCATGTTTACTTCCAATTTCTCTCATCAACCACGAGCTGCTACTTTTCCTTATTGACCATTGCTTCATCCTAAAATGCTATCTTTTAGAATTATGCATAAACTTAGCGCTGAAGAAATTACTTTAGCTAAATACTTTTGAAAAATCAACATCTAAATATTTTATAAGATACATCTTTGAAGGTACTCTTAATTCGTTCATTGAAGCGACTATGCGTAGTAATCATGAGTACGTCTTTTTGGGTATGAACGACACCGTTACATTGGTACGAAAATAGAGAATGAAAATTCTACAGCCTGCGTAAACGACAGTAAAACTCAGACATACGTTAGTCAAATCTACGCAAGACTTATTGCTTGGAGCTGAGACAAGATCTAATGGTAACAAAAGAAACAATAATACAGGTCCGACGTATCGCTCAGAAAATCATTAACTATTAGCAAATTCAATCTTACCTTCTGTTAATATTTTATGATAATTAGTACCAGATGTGTGCACACATAATTGCTTCAAAAAATGATGCCAAACTGCAGTTTAAATCCAAAGATACGTGCATGGGATACGTGCTAAAAACTTAATTTGTATTAGTGATATGTTGTGAGAGTCGATTTTAGTTATTTAAATAATACTACCTCTATAAATTCCTGTTTTTCAGTGTCAAAATTGCAGAAACAATTGTCTTCGTTGGTAAACAGAAATTGAAAAGCTTTCCAGGATTTTAATGGCGTGAACAAGCTGTTTCAAAATCATCAGGACTAACAAAGAGATGTGGGTGGTGGATAGTTGCCAACAAAACACCTTTTCCTGCTTGAATAGCGCCTCAGAAAACAGTAAACAAACGATACTATATCGTGTACTACTGTTTTTATATTTTTATTTCATTGGAGTCCTTTAAATATAAATCCTATTTTCTCTTCTTAACAATTTCTTCATCCAAAACAGAGTAAATGGTAAACAATGGAGATATGTGATGTGTTTGATGGACTGATGCAATGTGTACCGGTAATGTGATGTCTAGAAAAGGATAAACACCTTTGGAGAAGGCCCAAATTTTATGCGACTAAGTACCATGCTGTAAAGTAAACGTTATGTACTATTATTTATTAGGAATTTAAGTAATTATTAAGCATTAGTCTGGCTAAAATCAACGTGAGATTTCAGACGACATTTAGACTCCAATTTTCAATCTTTCCTGCGTAATAATCGAACCCCGATTTATCTGAGAAAATTGTCAGGTTTACGCGAATATCACGCGGTGGTATAAATCAAACCAAGAAACTGATATATCTCTGCCAAATGCACGAGTAAATTTGTGCCAATGCGAATTCCTTATATTATGAAAATCTGCAAAAATATACAGAGCTATTTAATGGTGTTGAGTAAACTTATCTTGCGAATCTTGTTACCATTCATAGCAATTAAAGTTTGTATGTATTTTGAAAATAATAAAATAAGAGTACCATATAAGAGACTGTCGAGTTTATCTAAGTATGAATGATGCAAGTGATAATACCTTAGTATCATGTAAGTGAATGTTTGCATTTTCACTTCTGTACAGGAATAGAATATACAATTTGGCGAGGGATTTTCCTTCAGTAAGCTATACACTGGCATAGCTCCAACTTAAACAAGCAAATAAAGCATTAGAATGGTCTGCATTAGACCGCATATAATGGGTTACAATCTATGATCCATTATAAATCTGCGGTAGCACCGATCTAATTAATTTACATAAAAATATTCGGATAGTTACAAACGATAATAAACTATGATCTGAAAGATACGATAAGTATAAATTATCATAGCTATTTGCTTTGTGAAGAAAGTGCATTTTTCCTAGTCAAATGATTTGTTTGATTGTTTTCCCCAGCCGGTTTGACTAAAATGCTGAGTGAACGAGTGATGTGAAATGGACGTGAAATGAGAATTTTATGTTTCCATAAGACAATGTCTTCTAAATGAAATTAAATGAAGGTGTAAACATTTTGCAAGAATGGTTTCAATTCAAAGGTATTAAAAATGATATACATAGTTGAAATTTGTATAAATAGAATTGAATTTATTACATATACTCATTCACTCATCAAAACAATTGCAGTCACACAGAATTGTCTGGTGAAATAAATGATTAAAGTCACATATCCCACACCTTATACATTATTGAGATCCAGTTGATAGTAGTGCTAATAATGCACTTGTTGCACCTACTGAAAGTATGTAGTTCACTGCTGGAGTAAATGTCTTTAGAATATAAAATGAAGATACAATAACAAGAGCTAAGAATAAGGCATTATTGTAGAAGATTGAAAAAGTTGTTGCTTCATAATCAGCCACTTCATTCTTTTTCCACAAAATCCTAGAAATTTAATTGTATTATATTTCTGAACAGAAACATTAAAATTAAATATATGAAATTACCTTTCATCCTTCTCTTTTTTGCTCATCTTCTTATCTTCTGCCAACTTGCGGCTCATTTCCTTTGTTACTGCATCCTCTCTTTTTACAGCAATCTATCAAAGAAATTATATTCAAAATCATGTATTACAAAATATGTGTGAGTTACAGTACCTTATGCTTCAGAACAAATTTTGTATTTTTGTATGCAAGAGCTAGAGCATATGTGCTTGCTAATGTGACCAGAACGAAGGAAATTAAGTTAGCATAAATGTCAATCAGATGAATTCTCCAAAAGAGCCCTGTAACAGAAAGATACAGGTTAATTAAAAAAAATATATTTTCCTAATAAGGATTATTTTTTTTTCCAAACCATGATAGAAACATGCACTGAAATTCATCAAGGAATGCAGAAATGTTAATATTACAGTGATTACACATTATCTTCATCAATTTTTCTTAATGTTCTACTCACAGATGGGGATCGCTGACACGATGAAAGCATTTCCATAAAATAAAGCTGAAGATTTAGTTGAAACGTTCCGTGAAAAGTCCTGAAGAAGGAGTTCTTCTTCTTTAGTAAATGCTTTCGATTTTCCTGACATTTTTGTCTTTCTTTTCAGGTACTTTCAGTTTACTGTACAACAACTTATTGTCACACTACTTCCGCGCAAATCGAAACGTTTACTGTCGACACAGAACGCATGCGCAGAAATGGACATTGTGGAAGTTTGTATGACAACGTGTCCGCCGATAACTTTTGCCATCTGCAGTGCATCTCCTGAAACTTTCCATATATTTCCCCCGGTATTGCAGTAACCTGCATTACATATTCATACATGCAGTAGTGGGAAAATATCAAATGGTGGGGTTAGTTGCGTTGCGCGAATGGGATACATGAAAGTTACTCTACCTTTTTTACCAAACCAATTGTTTCAAATAATATATTTAGTCTCAAGATTATTTTACAACTCTTACAGAAATGCATAGAATCATTAATATATAAGAAAAGAAGTTTTATTCCATAGTTAGTTTGAAAACGGTTTGTTAAAACACGTGACAAAAGATTGTCAATTTAACTTCATGAAAGAAGAATTGCGATTGGCTGAAGTTTTCGTACTCTTTGAAGGATTGGTTGTTACATTTGCAGCTCCCTGATTGGCTGTGCTCAGACAAATTCAAGTTCAAATGTATCGGATGCAATCGGATGTTATTAACCGCCGTCCGGCCATTAAGAACTCATAGACAACGTTTTTGCTGTTTTTTTACAAGAATTGTGTTTATTTGGAGATCATAACTGAAATATAGTAGGAAACATGCATTCGCATGTTAAGTGAACTTATTTGTATGAGAATATTAGGTAATTTAACGGTAAAATAGTTCATAGACGTGTGACTACGGAGTTGCTTGTATCATTTTAGTCAACAAGGTTTGTTTTATTGGAGTGTGTCTTTATTGTTCGTATATATATTTCATTTTACGAACATTAAACGAAGTATATTATACTGATTTTTAGTATATAAGTAACATTATTTCATCACTGCCATTATATGTATTTTTTTAAATATTTCTTATGCAGTTTTGGGTAGAGAAAATATAGATTTTACTTTGACAAGATTGAACTTGATTTTATTTTGGTACTCAAGGGTTAAGAAAGCATGAATATTAGAAAAGAAAAAAAGTTTTGGTTTAGTAATGTGCTCGAATGTATGTTGTGCATGCATGGATTTAATTGAACATTTCAAATATAATTTATTATCATCCTTATATTAATATGAATAACTGTTTTCAATAGATGGAGTCACGCTTACCAAAACCAAAGATTATTATACCACCAACAATCAGTACAAAAAGTATAAAAATGGAAGATCATAAAGCGGCAAAAGATCATGTACCCCATACAAGTTCTAATGGGGTCTCTGATACTTTAAAAAAGGCTAAGAGTACATTGAATGTGAATGCTAAATGTACAAATGAAAATAAACCTCCTGTAAGACAAAATCTTACTAGATCAAAGACTTTAGCATCTATTAGTACAAGGGCTGTGAAAAGGCCAGCAACTGCTCCAGTCACACATGGAGAAGCTAAAAGACCATTTACTAAGCCTTCTGTTAAACCTACAGCAACTACTCAAAAGTCTGGTAATGGATTAACAAATAATGTCACCAACAGATCTACCCAAAATACAACTAAAAGGACTGAGAACAATGTTGCTGCTAAACCTTCTAAATGGGATTTAAAGGGTAGATTGGCTCACACGAATAGTGCTTTGTCCGATATGAAACAAAAATATAATGAAACTACATTAAAGTTTAATGAACTTCAGGAACAAATAAATAGCTTGAAAGCAAATGAGGACGTGTATAAAACAAAAGCAGAAAAATTTGAACATGTGAATAAAGTATTAGATAATGAACTGAAGGAACTGAAAGTAGAAATGAATAAAGTACAAGAAGAAAGAGAAGGTTTATTTAAACGTTTGAAAGAGTCAGAAGAATCCTTCAAAAATGTCTCAAACAAGTTGCAACATTTTAAAGAAAAATGTGAATCTCAAGAAGCATTGTTGGCAAAACATGAGTCAGTAATACAAGATTTAGAAACAAATCTAGAAACACAGGTAAAGATCAATGAAGAATTGACTACAGTTAAAAATGAGCTACAATCACTGGTTCATACAATGGACAAAGATCGTCGAGTTCTACACAACGCGATTCAAGAGCTAAAAGGAAACATTAGGGTATTTTGTAGAGTGCGTCCTAGAACTCCAAATGAACTTGGAAAACCGTATGTATAGTATTGGAATGTTGCACATTTTCACTCTTAGTAATTGTGTACAGTAATTTTATGTATTGTTCACAGATTGTGTCTAATGAACTTCGTAGATGAATGTACCATTGAAGTAGGAAAATCTGATGGTTCTGATGCACTTAGTTGTAGTGGTAAACTAAGAGGAACTCGACAGGAATTTTCTTTTGATAAAGTTTTCCCACCAACAGCTAAGCAGGCAGACATTTTTGAAGAATTATCTATGTTGGTTCAGTCTGCCTTAGAAGGCTACAACGTTTGTGTATTTGCATATGGCCAAACTGGTTCTGGTAAAACATATACTATGGAGGGTATACCGGGTAGTGAAACAGAAGGCATGATACCTAGAACGGTAAATACCATGCAATTTATGTTTTGCTTAAAATATATACAGTTTATCCTGTATCTTTGCTATTCCTTCAGGTACGGCATATATTTCAAGAAATGAAACAGTTTCAATTACTTGGGTGGGAGTATCAAATAGAAGCCAGTTTTCTTGAAATTTACAATGAACATATTGTTGATTTGCTTGATTGTCAACAAAAAACGCACGAAATCCGAATGGCCGACAGTAAAGGGCACGACTTATATGTCAGCAATCTCAAAATTGAAGAAATCCACAGTCCCGAGGAGTTGCATGAATGCCTTCTAACAGCGCAACGTAACAGAGCAGTTGCGGCAACCCAGTCGAATGAGCGGTACATTTCTAGTTCACAGATATAAAAATAATGAATATTAAGTCTATGAATATAACGTAATTTTCTAGATCGTCAAGATCACATTCAGTGGCGAGGATAAGGCTCATTGGAACACATCGGCTAAAAGAAGAAATTTCTATAGGAAATCTGAACTTAGTTGATTTAGCAGGCTCTGAAAGATTAAAGGGCGAAGAATCAGTACGAATGGCGGAAACAAAAAATATTAACAAATCGCTGGCGAACTTAGGTAACGTTATTCTTGCGCTTTTGAAGAAGCAGGAACATATTCCTTACAGAAATTCGAAATTAACTCATTTATTAATGCCGTCTTTGGGCGGCAATTCAAAGACTTTAATGTTGCTAAACATATCGCCCTTAGACGAGTGTTACAACGAAACACTAAATTCACTAAGATTTGCTAGCAACGTGAATAGTTGTAAAACGGGTAATGTAAAGCGGACACGAACTATTCTACAAAACAGCATATAATGTTTCATCAAAGCAGCCATTCATATCTTCTTAGCCTTCTTTAAGACTATTTTGCATTTTTAATTTGTAACAATTAATCTCATCAAAGATATTTTTATGTTTTATACTTCCTTAAAGTGGTACAAAGTGTAAATAATTAGTATAAAGCATATTTTTCACAACAAAATTGAATATATATTATTTCATTAAGTTAAATTGGAGTTGCGAACGACCATTTTAGTTAGCAAATATTTAAAAAAAAAATTAATATAATCGGACAATCAATTTTGGAATTTTTATCTCTTTTATACACACATCCTTCCATGAAAATTGTTTTCATGGAACAATTTTATTTTTGTAAGCATTAATTGTAACGTGTATTGAAATAAAAAACCATTAATTTGACATCATTCATCAATCTATGGTTGAAATATACGAATGTACAAAATAATCATACTGTGTTACAATATACGTGTAAACTAAAATAAAGTTTTGCATTTAATAACATTCAAACTATAAATATTTTAATGTTCGAATAAAAGATATTTTATTTAAAGTAGAGCTCATAAAGCAGTTACTTATAAAAGGATGTTATAGAAACAGTATAACTTGTAGATACTTCTAGCATGAATGGATGAAACAATTGAGATTTCCTTAAGTTTTCTAGAAATTTCTTAAATTCTGGCGAAGAACTAATGATACCTTTTTGGATATTTCTTTCTAATGGATGATTATTAACTTTTACATTTGACGATTTTATGTTTTCTTCCTCACATTGTGAATTCTGAGTTGCAGAATATTTTGTTAATAAGTTATAAGTATTCTTCAATTGTTGGTTATTGAAATATCGATACAGTTCATAACTGTTAAATAGCAGTAGTGTATAGCCATGAAAGATAATTTTGTTTTGTACAATGGTTATATCCGAATTCAGTATATTTTTACTTTTCTTTCCAATATTCTCATCTTTTGCTTGATAACAACACAACATTTTTTGTTCCACATTAATTTCTGAATTTACAAGAATTTCAGATTGTAAAATGACATGATCATTACTGTTTATTTCTTTAGTAAAACTCTTAATATTTTTATATTTTCTCACAAAAGAATTTAAGTATGGGATAATTAAGGAAGATTTTTGTCTTCTGTAGAAACTTAAATAAATGGAAAAATATATATTATTAAATTTTTGCACAATGAAATTCTTACTTACATATCACTCCATACTATCCTTTTTCTTATACGTTCTTGTATGCATATAAAAAATATCATAAAACACATGATTATAAAAATATCAATATATTCAAGCACTGATCTGGATGCTAGTGCAACACTGCTAAAAGTATTTGGTACCATAATGTGTAATATATCTTCAATAGTCTCTGGTTTTGTTGAAATATTATATGGAATACCAGAATTCGAATTTAGTTGATAAAATAATATTCCTAAAATTGTTAATTAATTAATACATTGCATGAAAGTATCTACAAAATTTACCTTCTTGTGCCAAGATATCAGAGAAATACATATTATTTGTACACAAAGCTATCCATAATCCAAAACCCCATAGAAATAAAATATTCCAGGATATATAATGTGATTTATTCCGTTTGAATAGCCTCATTGCACAAGGAATATTACTTTAAAATATCTAATTCTTCCATTAGTATATAAATATTTGCTAACATTATTATAGTAGGCATATAAGTCAATTTTGTAAAAGTAAATTCATAGTAAATCAAAAGGTTACATAAACAAAAAAAAAAGAAGGCAATCAATGCAAAATTTCATTCACATGTATATTTTCACTACATCATTTAATGGATGTCAATAATTTAGAATTCAGCAGAAGATATAAATTTATATTATGACTAATATTTTAAATGTGTTAATTAAAATTTGTAATGTGCAATATTTCAACACGTTTAGATAGCTTGAATCAACAGCTTATGGTTATTTCTAAATTACAAAAAATGGAAGAAGAATGTAACATATGTCCTGTTGCAACATGTAAGAAGGTAAATATGTCATGTTGTATGTTTAAGAAGAATTATATTAAAAAATAAAATATTTCATGCAGTGTAGTTTATTCAATGTTGGTAAAGTGTACCAATGCGCCCATCGCCTTTTATGTTTAAAAGAACAATGCAATAAATATAATGATAAATGCATTTTACACAGTGACAGTAATAGGAGGATATTGTGTAATGCAAAAACATGCAAAACACGTAAAAAATTAATTGTCTGTAGAGATACCAAACTAGCTGAAGGTATACTCATCATTTCATGCAATAAATATTACATATTAATACAATCTTTTTTAACAGTTCAGACAAATTTACAAAATGATATACAAGTGTCAAGAAGTATCAATACAATTAATCAAGACCATATACAGATGCAGGAAACAGCAAATAAATCTAATCAAATAAATTTAAATTCACAATTATATAAAACATATGTTAGCGATAAAGTGGTTAATACACATGAAGAGAAGAGTGAACAAACCATTCCTACAAAAGATAATTTTCATATGGAAACAAGTACAAATAATTCTAATGTAAATATTATGCAAATTGCGGTATTGGGTAAAGAAAAATCTAAAGTTGAAGCAGAAAGAGATGTTACTGAAGAAACTGATAAGTTACAAGAAATATATTCCACTATAGAAACTGTTCAATATAGAAACCTGCCAAGCGTAAATGACAAAGAAATATTTGAGAGAATCCAAAAGGTTTTATTCAAAAGAAATTACTACTTATGTACTTTTTGAAAACTTATGTAATTTGTAATTCATAGGATCTCTTAAATGAAAAAACACGTAACAAAGAATTAGAAAAGAAATTAAAGGCTCTGACCTGCAGTTTAAAATGTCTCGAAGACAAACAAAGGGCAGCTTGTTTAAAAGATTCAGTAGAAACAATGGATCAAGAAACTCAACTTGCAGTCAGAGAATCGAGAGCTAGAACAAATTTAATTAAAGGACAGCAAGCAATAGAATTAATTAAAGGAACACGAGAAGAAGAACTGTGGAACGAAATCGCAAGATTACAAGTACGTATATAAAATAAAAATAATTTTCATTAATATGAGAAATATCATTTCAGCAACAAACAATTGAAGTTGCACATGCAAATACCGTTTTATCGCAAGAACGCGATAGTTTAAGAGTTCAATTACAATCCTTTTCGGAAGTAGAAGCTAAACGGTAATATTTGTTAGTCTTTCATTGAACATATATCTCTGAAAATTTATTTCTATAAAATATAATTGAAGGCTCGCTTCAGATTTAAAATGCATGCTTCAATCATATAAGGTGTGAAGAAGTTGAACAAGAACTGAATCGAATGAAACACGCTGCGGAAGAAAAAGAAGATGCTTTAAATACTGAAAAAACAGAACTCAGGAATATGATTACAGAACTTACAAATGTAATTAAGATACAGAAGAGAAGGATATGTGAAGTAACTTGTGTATGTAATAATCAGCAACATGCATTGCAACAAAAGGATAAGGAATTACATGAAAAAGTAAGCAATAAATGAAAATATTTTCGTCTTGATTTTATACCTCATGATTGATCCACAGAGCAGTGAATTATCAGAAGTAACACAAATGTTAGAATCAAGTAATGAAAGTGTTAACAAACTACAAGAAGAAGTAGAAGAGCTGAAATACTGTTTGTGTGAAGAGAGAAAGACTTGTGAGTGCCTTAGAGAAGAAGTACAAACTCTTACAGAAAACCATTCTTCTGATATGAGGATAAAAGAAAAAATCATAGAAGAACAGAACAAAACTATTTCAAAACAAAAAAAGGTATTGCATATGTTAAGTGTGAAGTAATATATCTAATAATAAGTACTTTTTGTTAGTTATTACATGACAGTGAAGAAATGGCCCAGCTAGTTGCATGTGAATTTGATCAACTCAAAGAACAAATGCATGAAGAAAAACAGAGAAATAAATCTCTGCAATTAACACTGGATAAAACTGAGAGTAAATTAAGTAAAGTATATCAGTCACAATGTGAGCAATGTAGAAAATTAGTAAATGAAATAGATTATTTGAAGAAAGAAAAACAAAGAGCACTAACAGTTGCAAGATTTGCATATGAAAAATTACGTCAGTCCTTTAAACAATATCAGACGAAACTTGCATATGAAAGACAGCAGTATAGATACTTGGAATCTATTGTTAATAAAAAAGAGCAGGAAATAGAATATTTAAAGAGTCAAATATGTCCAGGTACTGCAAGACCTTATTAAAAAAATAAATGGTTATATTATGTAATTTATATATCATAAAATTATGTTATAATGTTTATGCTGAAAGTGTTGGAATGAAAGTTTATAAAATTTGAATTTGAGGGATCTACATTGACTAATACTAAATATTATTCATCTATATTATCTTTGCAAATAATGTAATTAATCTATATAAATATGTTCACTGAATATTTCTGTATTATTTAAATTTTAATTTAGATATTCTTACTCCTATTTCAAGAAATAATAATTTAATATTTCTTTTATACCATGCAATATTATAATGTAAGTGAGTCTTCCAATTCTTGTCTAAAAATTCCTTATAGAATATTGACATATCATCTGCAGTAATTGATAGCTTTCCCTGTGCCTTCAGATCTTCTTGAAATTGTTTCCGCTCCTACAGTAAATTACATTTTGTAAAATTTAAATCATTCTTGGTAATAGTCCTAACATAAATGATGTTATATATACTTGTATAAAACTCATATTATGCTTCCTCCAAAAGTTCTCATTCCAGAGTTGTGTATCCTCTCTAGCCTCTCTGTACTTCTTTTCCAGATTGCTTTCATTTTTAGGTTTTGCGTATACTATTGGTCTTAAATTCGAAACTGGGTCGGGTGGTCCAATTATGTCACTGTGCGTGGGAGCTTTTAGGTTAGTTGATATCTTCTGATTAAAATTGAAGATTATAAATGTAAATACAATATACAGCAACTGGATTAACATAAAGAATGTAAAACTTACTGTGCTAAACAACCTAAATACTTTACTACAATGTTTTATTTGTACATAATTACGTATTCCAGCCATTTCTGGTAGGTATTACACATGTTGAACTAGGTCTGTTTGATTGAGGCGCTCCGCGCCTAACCTAACAATGTTGAGCGAGCGAGTAAATTTCATGCTAAAGCAAAAATAGTCAAACGTGTCATTCGGTGTAATTCATTGAGTGCAAGAGAAAAACGTGGACAAAAAAGTTGAAAAGTCAAGTACATAAGCGCGAGCAAAATCATTAATTACTCACTTTCTGAGCACAGTCTACGAACTTTTATAATTAAAGAATGGTGAACAATGCATTATTTACATGGTTCAATCATAAAAGTTCATAAATAATGTTCCAGTAATGAGTAATTAATTATTTTGTGTCAGCATTGCGATACGTACATGAGCCGTCTATGTCAATTCTACTGCACATGCAAAGTGCAATATTTCGGCACTTTGACGACGTAGTATGGTTCCTGAGGCATTTAGAAACAAATTTCTATTAGGGTTTGATCCGTTTTGATGCCTAATAAAGCCAGAAAATGAATTTTTGTAGAATTCGGTCCAAAACGGTACAAGTGGCGCCATCTAGCGGCGAGCGGAGGAACTACGAAAAACTAAAATCTCGATTTTCTCGAAAACTAGGGACTTTTCTGAAATTCTGAGATATACGAATTGTTCCTTATCGCCTACGGAATCGAACGAGTGTAATTATAGCCCGCTAGGACCATTATTAAGGAAAATAGAAAAATAGCCCATTTCATGGACTAAAAAATTGCCGTCCATCTAGCGG